GCTTACAAACACAACGTCTCGTCATGGTAAAATATTATTCTCATCTTCAATAAAAATATTTAATTTCTAAAAGTATTCATATAAATAACTGAGAAAGTTTCATAGAAAGAATTTTAGTCTGAAAGAATGTGAAATTTGTTCATTTCAAAACTAAATGTGAGACTTCAGTCATATGTTCAATAGACGTAGACGCTACATCTACAAGCTTGCGAGAAAAGTACCCGACGTATTCATCGTCATTTTGGTTCATTCATGTCTCACTCGATATATTATATTGAAGTAGGAAGTAGTCTAAAAAAGTTCGTACTCATGGTCTTTTTGATGAGAAGTTACGACCATTTTACGGAGATTCATTCATTTCCAAAGCAAATGTCTATCTTGAGACATTTAATGTCGAAGAAGACTTAAGTACTGTGTCGTTTTTGAATAGATCGCTGTTCTTTTTATTGGATATTCAATATCTCGAGAAAGACATATTCGGTTTTCGTTGAAAGTATCAGAACTATTTGATGACTACTAAATCTATTTATAGGTAAAACTTTTCATTTTGCCTTCATCTGGGTCAAGAAGCAATAGGTCACCTGAAGAGGTTCCATCGTCACTAAAACTGACATAATTCTAGTTTAGTTCGCCAAGAATCCGAATTCTTTTTAGGTTTTTTCTTACCTCAATATAATCTATAAAAAAAAAGTTTGCATGAATCAAAACGGAGCTCGAAACCTCGGATATTCCCCGCTTTAGTTTTACCAAAATGCACCACCATCTAATGTAACCTCCCTTCCCTAAAAAAAAATAAAAGGTCATAGCCTTCTCTTATGGAAATTCACATCGCTCATCCAAAGGTGACCTTCTATTATGATCTAGTTTTTTTTTACTGACATTTATTTATCAAACCAAGTGTTTTTTTGGAATAAATTTTCTGGCAATCAAACAGGCTTTGTCATCAACTAAGTGCCGGCAAACCGGAATTTTTGCAAGAAAGAACATCATTGTTTTTGATACTCATAAATCAAGTTTTTATACGATAAAATTCGATAGAGCGGTTATCTTCATCATTGAAAAGTAATTAGTTGTAAGAAATCGATATTTCTCTTTCAGTCTTGATTTCGTCATGTTTCATTTAAACTTTTTTTTGTTATCACAAACATTCAAGTAGAGTAGGATTTGATAAACGATTGAAAATTATTTATAATTTTTCAGGCGAAAAAAGTACGTGAAATATCTGCACTTAGTCGACGTATTGATGATATTCCATCATCAAGTGAATTAGCTCAATATCGTCAAGCATTTTTTCAATTATATAATCAAAGTGCAGTTTTATATCGACAAACAAAACAAAACTACACATTATATAATACATTTACGGATATGCTTGATTATATGACTAAAGAAATAACATTAATTGAATCAATTAATGAGGGATATCCACAGTAAGTTAATAATTTTTAAAAACGAATTTGTTTGCCTTATATAAAAAGAAAACTTTTAGAGCAATTTTATCATCAACGGGCAAAGAACATTTTCTAAAACAATTAGAAGGTATAGTTGAAAGTGTTAAACAAAGTCGAACTAAAATTGACCGTCGCCAACAAGAAGAAAAATCAAAACGTGATATCTTAAATATACAATTGGCACAATTAATAGAAAAAGCACGACAATATGCTAAAGTTCTTAAAGATTTTCAAGAAGTAAGTTTCATCGATTTATATCTATCATTTTAAATATATATATATATTTTAGGCTATTCGAGAAAACGAATATCTTACATCAAAATCCAAATAGGATAAAATATTTTTTTTAATTATTTTCATATTTTTTTTTTTTTTGAATAAATCATAAATAAAGTACTTTAATACGATCAATTATTATGAATAACTTACTTTAAACAAAAAAATCCACAAGACGATCAGTTAAATCACCATTATTAAAAGGTATCATGGACAATGTCAATCATTACTATTCAATCCACATCTTGACAAAAGAAAGTTGCGGCCTTCTTTTATGTCAGAATATACAGAGTTTTCAGTCGGTTCTTTTTACTATGTCACACTTATTGACATAACTTTTAATCAAAAAGAATTTATAGAGAACTAAAACTGTTTTGAGAATTTAGGAAGAGACTTTCAAAGTGTTAAATATCGAGCAATAACTTCGGTCTGACGAGAGAACATTCTCAAGTGTTCATATCCTTTGAGCTGACATTTGCCTATAAGTAGATCTTGATGAACTATGAAAGTCTTGAAAGGGTGTGTTCACAGATGTTTCTTGTCAAGTCTGAAATTTGTTCGACTATTTTCCATGCATGCAGAAGTCATAGTAAACACTGTTTAGTGACAATTAATGCTAAGTATACTGATAGACAAAATTTGGAAAAACATTTGCGTTGCTGAAGTGATTCTCTATCAGAACTGGTAGACCTGGAAACTCTAATAAAACTGCTTGGATGAAAATGTCTGGAAAACTAGGACTCTAGAAAACCCATTTTCTGAGATTCATTTAAAGCTATGGGAAATCAATTTATGTGATAGAGCAAAATCAGATGTCTTTCTTTTTTCATTGAACTGTATTGAATTTATAAGAAGACACAAGAATCGCTTTGCTTTTGTTGTTATAAAAGTTTTAGTGTTTTCAACTTGTTTGACGTTTTGAGGTTTTCTGTAAATTAAATACAGTTCAATGAAGAGAGTCGGAACATGTTTTCGATCTATTAAAGAAAACCGTTTCCAAAGAGGTTCAAAAGTATGTGAGAAAATTAATTTTTGAAGCATCTTGGTTTTCCAAACATTTTCATCCAAGTAGTTTTACTAGAGTTTTTAAGTCCATCAATTTAGATAGAAAATTCTATCAGTTAACCAAATGTTTTCTCAAATTTTTCTTTGCTATTACCATTGAGCAGAGAACAAAAAATACAGCTATTCTAAATTTTTGTCCATCATTATAATTATGATTAATTTACTCTCAAAAAGACTTAAAGTCTTCTACTTTTTAATAACCACCTAAGCAATTAATTGATTAAAAAGAGACAAGTCAATTTCTAGATTGAATGATCTTCAATTATAAGAAAATAATGAAATTTTTAATGCAATCCAACGTATTTATTGTTTTTCTTAAAAATTATTTTAGCAACACTGTGAAAACTATTTGTATCAACAAATGATTGACATAATAAGTTAAAATGATAAATTATTGATACAATTTTCTTTACTTTAGTATTCAAGTCTCAAGATGATATTGTCTAATCATATCGTTTTTGTGTCTTTTTAAAACAAAATACACAAAAATAAAATTCTTAATCATTTAAATCCGTATTTCTTTTCTTTATTTTGCATTTATTCGAATTCATCTTTTATTATTGAGATTCATTGAATATGATTACTATCCTTTTAACATGTTGTACAAGTAAAAATGTAATTAAAATAGCCACAAATAGAATTATAACATGTATTATGTCAGAAATAACTACAATCAATTCATATCGTAAAAGAATTTTTGTTATTAGATCAAATATTGTATAAAGTAATTTGGCTATTAATAAATATCCAGATACTTGTATAATTTGCCATGGTGTTTGTTTTCGACAAACAACAAAAAGACACCAAAATAAAACTCCAATAAAAGTTAGACAATAATTAAACCAATAGGTAATATAAGCAAATTTTGATTGAAATGAAATTGAATCAAATGAAAGATTTGTTATGTGTACTATAAGATAAGGTAAATAACATAATGAACTGCTTATATGGAGTAAAATCAGACATATACGATAAAAATGCATCTTGAAAATATAATAGTATGTTTGTGAGTGCCGTCAAATCTTGAAAATGAATCAATAAATGCTATCGGCAGTTTCTTTTTTTTTTTTGTTCCGATATTTCTTATCAAACCAAAAAGGAAATAAGAACAATGAAGGAGCGAAGAAAAAACAAAAGATTCTTTTGCCATAAATCTTCGATATGAAATTTCTATTTGAGTAGTTACTAAATCATTTTATGAATAATTATTATTGTATCTGATAATAGATTATATCATATTTTCTTCTAAATTTGAGCAGAAAAACATCTTGCTAAGTAGTATGATTAATAATAGATTTATAATTTCCTTGTACTTCGAACTTTTTTCTACAATCACATTCAACCTACGAAGCCTATGATGTAGGTCAAACATATTTTTTTTGCTCTATCTTTTGCAAGATTATTCTATTTCTCTGGCACTTCAAACCAAAATTAGAAGACTGATCGTGCTTTTCCTAGAGAAAAAACACAGATAAAGTAGGATAATCGTCAGAAAAGAAAGGATAAACAATATAATCGACCTACATTACAGGATTTAAAGTTCGAATAGAATCTCAATTCTTGTTTAAAATTTTCTTCATTAAAAAAATGGCATTGATTGAAATATAATTAAAAAAAAACAACATTTTATCTGTGAAAACAAGAACTCGACATGATCTCTGATTAACCCTTTAGTTACCGACATAACGATATACATATACGAAATCGAGCGATTTTTCATCATGTACATTTTGTTTTGTTAATACATAAGACTAACATGAACCGTAACAGAATGATACTATGGAAAAATCTTGCTGTTCGATGTTTGATTTTACGCAAATGTATCGAAAAAATTATGGTGTATAAGTGATTACATTAGTTTCACATGACAATAAAACTCATGATACATATATACGCCACCGATTACCAAATGGTTAATAATATGTTACTTTTCTCTATATTCACATGGCAACATCTATGTTCCAAAAAATCGATAAAATTTATACAAAGTATTATACAAAAAAATTCCGTTTTCAAATTTTTTTTCATTCAAGCTAAAAAAAATAGTATATATTTTAAGTAATCACGAGCGTTGTCTTTCTGTTGACATAATAAAAAAAATGAACTAAATTAAGTTTTTATTAAAGAAATAATACTTTTTACGGATAATTTGACTCACTTTTATTTAAAATATCAATCAAAAAAGAATACTAGAAAATTTCTTTTATTTTAAACAAGTGTAGGTTCATTTTCATTATTCATCGATATGCCACTTACAGAATCATCAAGTAATTTCAAGTGCAGCAAATTATTTCGATGCTTGGAAATGTTTTTTGCTAATCGAAATGTAATCAATATTGTTGTTAATAACAACAAACCAAATATTACAATAAAAAAACGTTCACCACCCCCAATATGCTTTTTCTCCAATGTATATTGAATAGACAATTCAATAATTTGTAATAGTTCACCAATTAATAAAATTCCACTTGCTCGTACTATACCAGCATCATAACGACTAAACCATACTACTAAAATACTCGCCGTATGATAGAGTGAAATATAAATTAAATTAATAACATAACCAAGAATAGCTGACATTTGTTTTTTATGATCTGATGCCTTGGCAACACGAGTTAAATGAGGATGTAAATTAATTGTAGCACAAATTATAATTAAAATGTGTAAAAAAATTAATATAAGACGTATATTTTTCATTATTTTACTTTTATTTCTTTGTCTTGTTACGGGATGAAATCGTTACTAAGACTCGCTCGTTTCTTTCTTTGTGTTTTTTTTCTTCTTAGAAATATTTTTATAGAATGCATTGATGATCAATGAGACAATTTTATCTACTGAAGAGAGATAAGTAGAATGAAATTGTTTGCATAAATTACATTCCAAGTTTTATGCATAAGATTCTCTTCTCAAACAATAAGAGAACATCAGTTTAGTACTACACAATATATTATATACGAACAATCTTATAATCAGAATAAAAAATAATCAATCTACTAGTTTGAAACATGTACAATAAGAAGGATCTAAAATTCAACGATTGATATATCAATGTTAAATTAAACACTAATGTGAAAAAAATTAAACTCATCTTTTTTCTTATATTTACTTGATTAAAATAATACATCAACAAAGATGAAAAACTTTTACACAATTGTCTAGATTGTACTACTATCCTGCTTCTGTTGCTCGGTTTTTTTTTTTTTGTTAAAAAGAAATCTAATGGATTATTAAACACATATTTTTAGACCATAAAAACAAATCGTATTGAAAGATGTTATCAAATCATATACGAACAAAAGCAATCTTTTTTTTTCTTCTCCTTGCCACGGCTTACCACTCCCATTTAAATCAATGACATACATAACGCCCTAACCTTGAAAGATTAGATTTTGTCGTAACATCTTGTCAATGAACTAATTGATAAATACTCAATTGTTTACATATAGGATCAACATAGCGATTTTTTAGTTCAATTCAGATTATATTGAAGTGATCATAAGACAACAGTCTGTTGATCTTTTCTAAGCTTCATACACTTCGTATTCAATATATGTATAATACATTTTTTTCCAACTGTTTGTCTCTCTTTCTTTTCTTTTTTTTTCTCTTCTGCGTTCTCGTTCAATTATTCAAATAGATAATTGATTGATTTTTCACATACAGACATATACATTGTACTATTGTTCCGTATTTTTACATCACCGTTCATCATATCTTATTTTGTGTTCAATAACGATTCAAAAGAACGTTAGTGTAAAACTCGCGTGTATATTCGTACATCATTTATTTCAATTTTTAATAACCCTAAACAAGGAACAAGTAGTATTGCTCGTACTATATACGATATAGACATTAAGATAGATATCTCACCTGAATTCTCTCCCCTATTTTAATTGGACACGGACACTATCCTCGATGATGATGACAGAAAAATATTGTACATTACCACCAACATCATCATCAACATCATTATATTACTCAACAATATATCATTCACCAATAACAAAAAATCATATACGTGAAATAAAAAATCGTCTTCATTCTCAGAAAAAACAAATTTCAACATTATATGAACATAATAATATGAAATTATTAATTGAACAACAACCAACAATACGAACATATTCATTATATGATATACAAGAACGTATTAATTATTTTGAAAAGAAAAAAACAATAACAGATGATATTGAAAATATTTCAAAAGACAAAAGTAAAACAAAAAGCAAACCCAGTGTTTCTTTTTTTTTATTATTATTTGTTTTTCTCTTTTCTAGTACTCTCTAATCCATCATTATCATCAACATCAGCTGAAACATTACAATCTGTTATTGCTAATACATTACAACAAACATTTTTTAATCATGAATCTTATGGTAGTGCATTATCACGTACCATGATGAATTCTAGAATCAATGATAATTTTCTTGGTAAACGTCGAAGTCTTTCGACAAGTTATCTTATTTGTTCAAATGATCAAAAATGTTCTAATCCTTATTATTCATCATTATCTAAACGTGTACGTACATATTCTCTATCAAATCATTCAACCATGGCTATGACAGCAACAGCAACATTTTCTGAAGAACAAAATACGGATTTACAAGAAACAAATAGTAATGATTATGAAAATACATATTTTTATCCAGAAGAAACAACTAGATTAGATGATGCTTTATCACTTACAACAATTACATCAAATGTTCAAGCTAAAATAACAAATACACAACATGATGCTAGTGTTTATTCGTCAGATACAACTGTTTTTCAATCAGATACAGATGATAATTCAGAAGCAGTAAAACCTATTGTTCAACAATATTATAATACAAATGATATTAATACGCCGACTAATTTACAGTAAGTTAAATTTACAAGACATTTAGATTTTTGATCAACTCATGTAAGATGTTTTGATAAGCTATAAAACTACTAGCTTATTAACTGTTTATAAAAACAATTGATTAAAACAATAAAATATAGAAAATAATAAACAATGATTGTCAATATTATTCGAATAGATTTATTTTGAAGTTTGTAATGATTTGAGTGAAGAGCTTTATTTCTTATAAAAGTTTTTGAAGAATAGGATTTCTGCAAAAGTACATTTTTCAGTTGTTAGAAGTCGCAGATTCTAGAAGCTGAAAAGTTTAGTTTTGTAGAGACCTTACACTTAGGATATTAACAATCAGTTGCATCTTCGAAAACTCTTGTTGAAAATAAAATTCTGCAGGAATAGCATTCGTTAGATTCTCATCACTAATGATGGTACAGCTTAAAACCTAAGAAATGTAAAAGTGAGTTTTATGCCAAATGTAAGTCCGTCAAAAATGAAATTTATGATTATAACTAGTTATTCCTTACATAAGAATAAAAATATAGAATTATGGAAAGTTTTGAAGATATGAGGGGTGTAATTCGATACGTCCACGAGTTGTCAACTACGAGAAAAAAGTTCTAGAACAATGGTGTTTTGTAGCGCTTTCTTCATTGATCATTTTAATAAAAAAAAGTTTCAAAATTTGACCAATAAATGACGATGCTAGGATCAAAATACAAAAAATCTTCAACTGCTTTGACTAATAGAGTCAAGATGTTTATTAGTATTGTTATCTTTGTATTGATATTTATTGATCAAAATTAAAAACTTTTTTTAATCGGAACAGTCAGTGAAAAGAGCTCTACAAAATGTATTTGCTGAGAATCGTATTTTCTTGTGATTGATTATCAATGAACGTGTCCAATTATATCTCTAACATCTTCAAAAATTTCCACAATTCTATAATCCATTCTCATTCAATAAATGGTCAGTTATACTCCTAAGCTCCTCGTTTGACGGACTTTCATTTCGTATAACACATTGTATAAAATATATAACTACAACAATGATATGAGGCACTAGTTGTAAATAATTTCATATTAGCTCATGACTAGTTCAAGTCGAGTTAATTTCTGCTTGTTCATCATTCTCAATGATAATCCTTAGAGTTGTATACATAGGTTAAATTATTTACTATTAGACTTTGCAAACAAAAATGTATTATCACGATAATGTATAATCTCAAATTTTCGAGAAGCTAATTAATATTACTATCTGATTTCTTTTTTTTGGCTTTTCTATTAAATCTTCTTTTTGTCTTATTAGAAATGAAAATATCAAGGATAATGATGAACAGCTTATTCGAATACGGCTTAATTTAACACCACCAGATCGTGATTTTACCGGTGTATTTCATGCAAAAAAATGTACAGTTGTTAAAGAACAAGAATGCTTATCCGATTATGACGATGTTAATCACTGTTCTAAACAAAACAATAAGATAAGGTCAAATATAGACAATGTCTCATTAAATAAATCGATGACATCGTCTTTACGACATGAACATTGTCGAAAAATTTCTACCGATGAACAACTAAATCAACAATCGAAACAAACAAATGAAAACGAAAAAAATGATGATGTTTATAGTCAAGTAAATCAAGAAGAAATTGTTCATTCGATAACAATGAATAATCATATTGAAATGATACCACGACAAGAAAATGATGATGATGATGATGATGAACATTATTCAGATGAATCACATTATTCAGATGATTTAAGGTTAGTTTTATTATTAAGAAGTTTTAATTTAAATTATAACAAAAAATTTGAATATTTTTGACACATTCGTCCTTCTCAAGTTTCTTATTAAATATAATTGACTTAGTTTAATCGAATAAGTGATGACGATTTCAAAAATTTGAATGATTCTTTCTTTCTGTATATTATCAATAATATCTCTGAAATTTATTTAAATAAATAATTTATTTATATTTAGATCTCTTATTATATGTTGATAATGTATAAATAGCATATAAATCAAACTTTATTTCCTATCACGAAGAGAAGATCATATCCTATTTTCATCATTCTTCTCAACATACATCCGTTCAGTCGGATTAGAGATATACATGCCTTTACTTCTTCCTCCTACTACTTAGTATACGTTTTTCTACACATTGCTTATGTAAACGGCAGCATAACTTTTTTTCTTTTTTTCGTTGTCGTCATCTATATTGTTTTCGTATGTGTACATATGCAGAGCAACCCGTAAAAGAGCCTCTTCGTTTTAATAATAACTAACGGTAGTATGGTCCTAGTTGAGAATGATGCAACAACATGAAGAGTGAAATTACTTCTTCATCGGCATACTGTCAATAGTCGATTGTAGTAAACGCATATGTATGTAAAGATTCAATCAAGTTATTTATATTCGACATACATTTTTAACACAAAATTAAAAAGAAAAAAAACACAATGACGATATGCATGTAAGTGAAAATGAATCAATGTTTAGCCAGTGTTGGATAGAATGAATCTTGAAGAAAGAACCATTTTTTTTTTCTTTTTTTTTTACCTTTTCTTGCAACATTTAACCTTCTGAAAGTAATCACTAACGATTTAAAATCAAAGTAGTTGTGTGTGTGTGTGTGTGTATAGGTATATTTGGATGTATAAGAAAGAAGAAAAAAGAAGATAATTTGCCATTTTTTTTTTGACTTTTGTAAATACTTCATGGACATTTTTGTCAAGGTTTTGTTTCTCTTGTCCAATAGAATCAAGATGTAAACTGAGAAGACATATATTGTATTTTAAAAAAAGAAGAGTCAGGTCATTTTACAATTCTTTATTTTAAATATTCTTATAAGTGACA